AATGATTTAATCTCTTAATACTTAAGCAAGCTTTTGGATGTTTGTAAATTGTTTATGTTGCTGTTAATGTACCTCTATGGTAGATATTGTCATAATGTGAGGTGATTTATTTGGTGTTCATAATTTTGGATTTTGGTTATAAGCATCAATATGATGCTCAACAAGGTACGAGAGAATGGTGTCTTCAGGATGGAGAATCAATTACCCATTTACTTCTTGAATGGTTCATCATTATACAGCTTTGGCATTTCTTTTTCGAATTAATTGGCTGGCAATTGGTAGCTCTGGGCAACATAAAAAACATGACCATCCAGTTTCTGTAGGAAAGCATGTGTGTTTTGCAGGAGGGGTGGAGCATTCTTTTTATTGTAAAAGAAAAAGAAAATTTTATTAAAAATAAGGCTATGTTTGATTTGAAGGAAAAGGTAGGGAAAGGAAGGGAAGCCTTGTATGGACTTCCCTAGATTTCCCTTCCTTTCCCTACCTTTTCCTTAAAACCAAACATAGCCTAAAGGATAAAGGTTTACAGTCCAAAGGTGAAGAGATATCATCTAATCAGTATATACATCATAAGATTTTTTTTGATAAAACAAGAGGGGCTACACAAGGGAATGAGGGAGGAAATGACAAGATAATTTAAGTCCCTATTAGTATCCTCCAAGGAAGACCGAAAGATTGTCCCCAAAATTCTTTCTATTTATATCTTTAAATTCTAGGAGAACCTGATGTACCACCAAAGGAATATATATTTTTTATTTGTAACACCAAAGGACAAATTTCTTCTGTATTTGTATTTCTCTTAAAAAATACACATATTCTTTCTCCCAAACACCCCGACAAACTGTAAATGGAATGTTGCTCCAAGATATCTTTCACTTTCTTCTTTTTCCTAATCTTGGTCATGTAGAAAAGATCTCCAATTCAGTTGGGTAAAATTTTGTTAGGAAAAACTCCTAAATGAATTCCTTTAATCTGCATTGAATAAAAAAGGTGTCTCACATTCTCTTCCTTTTCCTCATACAAAACACACATTTTTTTTTTATCAGTAAATATGTGTTTTATTAAAATTCAGAATGTAAGCATTTTATACAATTTGATGATGGGACTGTTGATCCTTTTTCCTCACTCTATTCATCCCTCATTACAGTATAGCCCAAAATAATTGCTGTCTCAATGCCCCTTGTTTTGCTAATCCATCAGCTAGTCCATTTGCACTTCTTCGGACCCATTTAATTCAGCCTCAACCTCCTTGGCAATCTTCGCCACTTCCCTAATCACATGTTTAAACGTCCATGGGGTGTGGCTGCTATTTGTTGCCCATGAAATTACTACTTTTGAATCCCCTTCCACTTCAACATGTCTGCATCCTAGTTGTTTGGCTAGCTTTAACCCTTGTGGTAATTTCAACAGTTCAGCCTTCAGCGAGCTACCGTTGCCAATCGGCCCTGAGAATATACCCAATATCCTCTTATCAGGGTTTCTTAATACTCCTATTCTTGAAATGCCTGGAATTCATATGAGCACCTGTCAAAATTCAGCTTTACTTTATTGCCTTCCAGCGGTTTCCACTCCGGCCTTACTTTATCTCTTACTCTCGAAGATTGTGCTACTTTGGATCATGTTCTTAGAATATCTGCAACTGAGAAGACTTGAAAGCAGTCCAAGAATTTTACCCAATGGGCTATTTTCACCTTGATATTATCAATCACTTCCTCTACTGTTCTACTTTTCTCCAAGAAAATTCTGTTGTTTCCTTTCTCTGTCTCAAGAAATCATGGTTGAAGAGTCCTGCCACATCTTGAGGGGGAGCCCACCTGCAGCCAAAGAGAGTACAAAAAAAATCCCAAATTCGATGCACAAAAGAACATGATATCATTAAATGAGAAAGGATCTCACCACTTTCCTTACACAGTGAACACACATGAGGAGAAAGGCACATGTATGGCCTTGTTTTCTGCAGCATATCACAAGTGTTTACCTTACCAAGGAACACTTCCCAACAGAAAGCTTGGATCTTCGGGGGAATAGGCTTGCACCAAAGGCTTGGGGGAAGCAAGTACTTTGAAGAAAGAGGAGCAAGAAAAGAGGCCGTCTGGAGAGCCTACCCAAATTCTTGAGTCTTCCAACGAAGGGTCCAGGTGGATCTGCCCTAAGAGGTTTAGCAAGCTGGTTAAGGATTCACACTCATTTTCCCTTAGTCCCCTTCTAAAGCCTAAATTTCAGTTCACACCAATTGGAAACAGTGATCCCAACATGGATATAGCTTTCCCCTTAAGGTTAGATAGTGCAAAGAGATTAGGGAATTTGTCTTTTAGTGGGGTTTCCCCTACCCATAGATCTTCCCAAAACAGAATTCTATTAACTTGTCCCACATCAAACCGGATGGAATTAAGGAAAGTAGGGTAGATTTCATGAATTGCTTTCCAAGGAGAAGTCGAAGACCTGTGAGGGGCAACTTTTGCATCCCAGCCATTTCCAGCCACCCCATGAATGCTCTCAATCACTTTGTGCCACAATCTGCCACCCTCAAAGGGAAACCTCCAAAGCCACTTACCTAGTAGAGTTGTGTTCCTTAAAAAGGATGTTTCCAATTCCCAAACTCCCTTGTTCCTTGGGTTTACTAACTTGCTCCCACTTGATCAAGTGATCCTTCCCTTCCTCTCCTGGGTCCCAAAGGAAATCTCTCATATATTTCTCTAGGCATCTTGCTACCTTAGAAGGGATTCTAACAGTTGAAAGGAAATAGGTGGGGACGTTTGCCAGAGTGGCTCTAATCAAGGTTATTCTTCCACCCAGCGGAATGTAATTTCTCTTCCAAAGGGCTAACTTCCTATCAGACCTTTCTAACACTGGTTTCCAGAAACCAACTGACTTGGGGTTTCCTCCTAAGGGTAAACCTAGGTAACTAATAGGCCAGCTTCTAGTCTCACACTTCAAGATTTCTGCAAATCTCATTAGTTCTCCTTCTGCCAAATTGACCCCTACAATTCCATTTTTGGTCCAATTTATCCTCAGCTCTGTCACTCCCACAAAATTATTCAGAAGCACCCTCAAATTTTCCACCAACTCCTCCATTGTTTCCTTCACAAAAAAATATGGTGTCATCTGCAAATTGGAGATGGGTAACAATCACTCAGTTTCTACATACAAAACACGCATATTTGTCAACTGAAACCCTCTAGACTCAGATAATCTACTGTTAAGATTCTGTCCAATGCGGGCAGCCATGCAGATGCCTCTAAAGTTGTATTAGGTTCTCCAAACTCCACCAACATTGGATTTTTCGAGCTGATTTCTGGATGCAGCTTCATAAAAAGATTTTAAAGTAAACTTCCCACTCATACATTCTTTTCACTACCTAGCATCTGATGCATTAAATTCAATTTTCATATCCTCCAATCTTGAAAGTAGCATGATGCATTCCTCCACCTCCCTGTCCCGCAACGGATGGCAAAATTTTTGGCACCACACAATCTGTTCACCCTCATCTCAAAGGATTAGCTAACTGTAATATCTTTTGTGCTCAGCCTATAGAACCCTGGGCATACATCACATAGTCTCCTACTTTCACACCACTCATTATCTCAAGAGTGGTGTGGTACTTTTTTTTGATGAATAAAGTGGTGTGGTACTTCCCTAGTGCCCACTCAAACTTTTCAACCCCATATTTACATACGACATCTTTTCTCTTTCTATTTACCAAACCTTTTGCAATGTCATCATTTATGAAGTTATGTGGAGGGTGTGGGAAGTAAGAAACAAGTTTACAGTGTGTAGGCTTCCTTTGAGGCTTTGAGAGCCCCAAGTCCTTGTCCTTGTTAGCGTATGGATGCTATTTCTGGGATATAGAAGAATTTAATGGCATCTGAACTGCTGATTTAAAAGAAGCTTACCCAAGATCCTCAATCTTCTCCTGGAGGCTCCATAAGGAGTTTCTATTCCTCTCCAAGCAGAATGGGAAGCTAGGCTTTAGTTCAATTGTTGAACTGGGATCAGCTAGGATTAGAGGGATTATCTTTAGGTCAAATGGAGCATTTTGAACTTCAGCTAATCATAGGGGATACTGATTCTGCCAAAGCAAGAGAGGAGTAGAGGACCCTTCTAATGGGGGCTTGCATTGCCAAACAAATTCAACTTTCCTCATTTACAACTGAAGGAGACTTGCTAATTCCATAAGGTTGTGCTAATGAGTGGGAAATGGGTCACAATGCTTATATCACCTCTTAAAATAGGTTAGGGTAATCTTGGCTAACATTACTGTTTAGACAAGACAGATTTCTAGGGAACTAAATTTGATTCTTACTGATAGTCTTGCAAATTCTGGGTTAGGCATTTCTGTACAACAGCTGGTGTTACATGAACAAGGGCACTGGAATTAGAACCCAATACATGTCCAGGAGTCTGACTCAGCAAGGGAAAGAAACAGGGATTCATGGACACATCTATAGAAAAGCATAAACTATTAAAATGGTCCATATTTGTTTAAATTTAACATTACAAACCTATTGAAAAAGTCTAAAAGATTATCTTTCTTAGTTATTAAAATTCTATAGGAAAAATGGCATTTGTTAATTGTCCATTTATATTGAATAAGCAAGGAGGAAAAGAAAACAAAATGTGCCAGCATGTTAAATTGAACCAGGTCAGTGTTGTGCGAGTGTATGCCTGTCAATATTCATTTATAAGTTAATCTTTGTACACCTTTTGGTAATCATAACCATTTATACTGCATGTCAGATCATGGGTGGCAATTAAGTCATATGTTTACTTTCCTAATAATTAACTTATACTATATTTTTTTTGATAAATAACAGAAAATTTTATTAATTATAAACAGTAAATGATATCTATGTACAATTTTTCATACACCCTTGGGAATATACACCATACCCACCCCTTAGATAATCATATTACAATTGGGCCAAAACAATTGATTCCTTGCTACCCCTTGCCAACTCTATAATTGCTGATACTAAAATTCTCTCTCTCTCTCTCTGCAGGCTGTTTCCCTGTTCAAATCTTATTTTGGTGGAGCATTTGATGAAGATGCAATCCGTAATAACTTTGTTCTAATCTATGAGCTTTTGGATGGTATGCATTTTACCCATTTATTGATGCTGAATGTTGGATGCTTTAAGTTGATGCTGACCAAGTGTTCTATTATTTTCTTTTATTTCTTATGTATTCTTCTGCACACTAATATGTAAAGCTGCCTTTTTTTATTGCAAATAGTCATATTCTCTAATGTGATATGGTAATATTCCCCTTGTTCATAAAATATGCTGTGCAAATTCTGGTCAAAATAAATAAACAAACATACCCACTTGCCTGTAACAAGAAGGGGGGGGGGGGTCATGCTTCTTTGTCCTTTTGCTATTACAAAATGTACTGCACTTGCATACTTGACGTGTGGTTTCCCTAAAAACTCATTTGAACTAATTAGTGCATGTTGAAGATTTTCACAATGCAAATTTGACTAGTTACTATTACTAGCCATTAGTATACCTTCTATATTAAAAATAGTAACAAAGATATATTATTTTTCAGTAGACGACATTGATCAACTATCACATTCACTAAATTGCTGGTTAAATGTATTTGTCCTTGCTTCTCTTGTTTATATGTTTTATTTGGTGATGTTTTTTAGTGCTATTGAATGCTTCAATTAATATCAACCACTTTTGTGTTTTTTCCAATAATAAAGGCATAGTTTAAGTTCAGAAGTGGGTTCAATACATTTATTATTTTGGGGTTTTGGAGCATGCCCTCTGTTTTCAGCAAGGAGAAGAAGAAGACGAAAAGTATGAGAGCCAAAAAAGATCTATTCTGGCGGCACCAGCTTTTGACTTAAATAGTAGGGTGGCCAAAACATAATAAAAGAAAGAGAAAAGACAAGAATGCCCCTCTGCAACATATAGTACAGATTTCATCACTCCCCCTCAAGTTGGGGCGTAGATGTCAATCATCCCCAACTTGTCACAAAGATCATAATGCCCATAGTGAGGATAATCCTTTAGTAAGAACATCTGCAAGCTGTTCATCAGAGCTAATGTAGGGAGTGCACACTTGCCCCTTCTCAATTCTCTCTGATGAAATACTTGTCAACCTCAATATGCTTGGTTCTATCATGGAGAATTGGATTGGCTGCAATTTTAATGGCATCTTTGTTGTCACAGTAGAGTGTGACATAGGATCATCAAAAGGAAATCCTAATTCACTCAATAGGTTCTTGATCTACAGTAACTCTACAATTCCATGTGACATAGCCCTGTATTCTGCCTCTACACTTGGCCTAGCCACAACACTCTGTTTTTTGCTTCTCCAAGTCACAAGGTTTTCACCAACAAAGGCACAATATCCACTGGTGGATTTTCTGTCATCCACTGAGCCGCCCAATCTGCATCTGTGTACACTTTTACTCTTATGTGTTCATGTTTCTTAAAAAGTAAACCTGTCCTTGGGAATTTCTTCAAGTACCTAAGAACTCTGTTTGCTGCCTCTAGGTGTGCCTCCTTGGGTACATGCATGAACTGACTGAGGACACCCACAACATATGCAATGTTAGGCCTGGTCATGGATTGGTAGAGAAGCTTGCCCACAAGTCTTTGGTACTACCCTGGATCTTTCAAGGGCTCACCACTGCAATCCCCAAGTTTATGATTTACATCTATAGGTGTGTCAGCAAGTTTAGCTCCTACCTTCTCTATATCCTTTAAGAGATCTAAGGTGTACTTCCTTTGGGAAATGAGGATGCTTTGTTGAGAGTGAGCAACTTCAATGCTAAGGAAGTAGCGCAAGTGCCCCAGATCCTTTACTTCAAACTGTGTAGTGAGGAATATCTTTAATCTCTGAATCTTTGAGACCCAGTTTCTAGTGATGACAATATCATCTACATAGACAATCAAGGCTGTTGTTTTTTCTTGTTCCCTCTTTACAGAAAGTGTGTGGTCAGATTGGCACTACTTAAAACCCATTTGTTGAACTGCCTGGTGAAACCTGCTAAACTAAGCTCTTGGAGATTTATTTTTTTTATCAATAAGCTCTTGGAGATTGCTTTAGACCATACAAAGATTTCTTCAATTTACAGACTTTCTGTTCACTTCCCTTAGCAAAAAAACTAGGGGGTTGAGTCATATACACTTCCTCTTCCAAATCACCATTCAGGAAGCCATTCTTTATGTCAAGTTGATGAAGCTCCCGATCAAGATTTGCAGCTAAAGACATAAGAACCCGAATAGAGTTCATTTTTACAGTCGGAGCAAAATTCTCGGCATAATCTAACTCCATGCACCTGTGTGAAGCCTTTTTCAACTAGCCGRGCATTGTACCTTTCCACAAGACCTATCTGCCTTATGTTTTATAGAGAACACCCATTTGCACCCTACATGCTCCTTTCCCTTGGGAAGATCTACCAGCTCCCATGTGCCATTCTTATGAAGAGCATTGATCTCTTCTTTCATTGCATTTGTCCACTCAGGAACAAGTAAGACCTCCGCAACACCCTTGGGAAGGGGAACGCTATCAATAGTAGATAGAAAAGCACGAAAAGAAGATGAGACATTCTCATAGGACAAGAAATGAGATGTGGGGTGGTGTGTGGTGCTAGTGATTTAAAAGGCGCGCCTAGTTACACAGGCGAGGCGCATTTTGGGGTATGCGCCTTGCCTAGGTCCTAGGCGCACCTCTTTAAAAAGGCGTGCGCCTAGTGCGCCTAGGCGTTCGCCTTCGCTCACTCACCGAATCTCCGAGAACCCCCTATTTGCTTATGTTGTCATTAATTCATTGCAATAAAATATCTTCCTAAAAGGCAATGAAAGTTGTAAAATCATTATTTTTTATGTGAGAAATAAGAATTTCAGACCCTAACATAGGCTTGTTCGGGCTTGCCTCGAGGGGCGTGCTACAAAGGCTACTCATAGAATCAAGAATGCAATATGTTTACATCACATTAACTACTTGAAGCAATTAAGGAAAAAAAAAGAGATTGTGGGTTTTACATGCTTGAAAATGCTTTATATGTTTGCTTTTATTTTTTAATTTTCATTTGAATACACTTCACATGTTATGTTTATGTATTTTAATTTTAGATAATAGGTTTTTTTAATTATTTATTTTAAAATTTAAGTTTATATTTTTATTAACATTATGTTTAATATTTTTTAATTTTTTTTTGCATTTTTTTGGAAATTTTCACTTTTTTTTTTATTTTTTAGCTTTTTTTGTAATTTTGTGCCTTTCTTAAAAAGGCAAGTGCCTCGCCTTGTGCCTTGCGCCTCAGGCGCAAATTGGCCCTTGCACTTTTAAAACACTGTAAGGTGCATGATCTAACACCCTTTTTGTAATAGGGAGGTTCAAATCACAACTTGAAGTGTCAATATCAATAGGTTCAGGAACATCAACTGGAACAATAGTACTTGGATGAGGTGAAGGATCCAGCCCCTGAGATTCTGATGGCATTGGTGGCATCGTTTCCAGTGGTTCTGTGGCAATTGAACTTTGTTGGCCTTAATTTTTGTAGTGCAATCTCTAAAATACACGAAAGGGAGGAGGATTAGGAATAGAAGGCAATAAAATTTGAGTCTAACTCTATTTCTCCTTAGCTCTACTCTCCCCTTGAGGAGAAACAAGAAAGTAGAGGACATCTTCAAAGAAAGAGACATCCGAGATAAAGTATTTTTTAGACACTGGGTCAAGGTCAAGACAACGATAGTCTTTTTGAGCAAGGAGATAACYAAGAAAAATACACACAATAGCTTTGGGATCAAGCTTACCACGAGTAGGAGAGAGATCATGAACAAAACACTTACATCCAATGACCCGCATAGGGATAGGAAACAGAGGAGCTCTTTAGGGAAGAGGATCTGATGAGGGGACCTATATTCCAATACCCGAGATGGTGTTTTATTGATGACGTAGGTAGCAATCAGGACAACATCCACCCAAAATCTTTTTGGCACATTCATCTATAACATTAATCCTCGAGCAACTTCAAGGAGATGTCAATTTTTTTTTTCTCTTTGCAACCCCATTTTGTTGTGGGGTTCTGGCACATGAGTTCCTGTGTTGAAAGCCGCAGGATGCAAAGAAATCTGTGAAGTCTCCATGGAAGTATTCCTTGGCATTATCTGATAGAAAGATTCGGATCTCAGATTGAAATTGGGTGTAAAACATACACTGAAAGTCTTTCACAATTTTAGGAACTTCCTCCCGTGAATGCATAGGATAAACCCAAGTGTAGCGGGAGAAGTCATCAACAAAGGTTAGTTAGAATATTAACAGGTCCCTACACATCTGAATACACAATGTGAAAAGGAAATTCTGATCTTTTATTACGTAAAGGGAATGCGGTTCTACAATGTTTACTCAGTTGACACGCCTGACACTGAAAATCACTAACAAACAAAGACTTAAAACAAATCTGTAAACAAAAACTTCAAAGACTCAAAAGACACATGGCGCAAACGGTGGTGCCACAAAATAATCTGACTCTTACTCGACGGACTCAAAGACTCTGAAACTGTAAGACCGACTTTGTTCTCCAGCACATAGAGACCATACACCATGTTCCCTCTACCAATTGTCCTTTCTGTAGCCAATCCTGAAAAACACAAGAATGTGGAAGAAAGGTTACTGAGCAATTCAATGCATGAGTAATACTACTAATAGATAACAAATTAATAGGCAACTTTGGAACATGTAGGACATTAGATAAGGAGAGGCCAAAAGGCAATGATATAGATCCTTGACCAACAATGGAAGAGAAGGATTCATCTGCTAACCTCACTTTATCTCTGCCAAAGAGAAGAGAATATGTTTGAAACAAGGTTGACTTACTACTCATGTGGTTGGATGCACCGGAATCAATAATTCATGGGGATTTCGGGTTAGTAGTAGACACATGGAAAGCTGAGGCAGAATTACTTGAAGAGGAGGCAAAAGAAGTAGAAGATGTGGGCCCAGAATCAACATTGCGGAGAGCCCTACCATATTGCTCTAAGTGGCCATAGAAGGAATTGATAACATCTTCCTTTGGGTCAGAACAAGGGAGACAACCCTGAGAAGTACTCTGATGTTCATGAGATGCTAAGTTAGCCGAAGTAAATTTCTTCTGGTATGGCTTCTTGCTTGGTTCTTGTGCTGATTTCTTACCCAATTCCTACGCCCATTTTGGTTTCCCATTCAATTTCCAACAGATTTCACGGGTGTGCCTAGATTTTTGGCAATGAGTACACCACAGTTTATCTTTATCATCTTTCTTTTTCTGATTTTCCCCTTTTCTTAGTGCCCCAGTGTTACCCCTTACAGCAAGAGCAATAGTCTCCCCCTCGGGAGGATTCATGGCAGACTTCCTACTCTCTTTAGACTGAACAAGTGCATAAACCTCTTGGACAGATGGAAGATCCTTGCTGCCCCATAATCTGAACACGAATAGGTTCATACACGGGATTCAAACCTAGAAGGAAAGCGAGCACCCTTTGCTGTTAAACTAACTTTTTATATGCTTTAGCATCCTTTTCACTTTCCCAATCAATGTTTTGATAATAGTCTAATTCTTTCCAAACTGAACTGAGAGTAGAATAATAGGTCGATAAGCTCCGTTCTCCCTGCTTACATGTCAAAGATTCTGCTTGTAGCTGGTAAATTCTAGCATAATGCCTCTGCTCTGAATAAGTTGCTTGCGCTTGGTCCCATATTTCTTTTGCTGTCTCGGCCCACATAAAATTTTGTTTTACGGATGGTAACATTGATGTCAAAAGCCAGGACATAATCATGCAATTTTCTTAGTCCCATTTATTGTATTTGGCAGTACCATCTCTAGGTTCCTTTATTTTCCCATTAATATATCCTGCCTTACCCCTGGCTGTGATATACAACCGCATCTCCTTAGATCATGCCAGGTAGTTCCTACCATCCAACGGGGTAATAGTCATTGGGAAATTCATGGGGTCATGGCCACTACTCATTCCACCTTGATTCATGGTGGTTCCTGAAGGTGCAGAATCTTCAGCATTCATGATTTCAGTCGATACACACCCACAAAGAGAAATTCACAGCCCTTACTCTGAGTGATTAACAATCAGAATTCAGAACACAATTTCAGTTTATGTAGTAACACACTTAGACAGGTCAAATAGGTCTCCAAGGCTAACATTAAGCCACAACCATCAGTATTCTGCTGCTATGCTGGTCACCTGAACACTCTCACAGGTGTAACAGATCCCCCCAAGGCTAATATTAACTACAAACATCAGTGAACTACTGCTGTACCAGTCATTCAATAACAGGTCACCCATGACCTATAAAATTTTCCACAAGAAACTTAGTTTCTGGATCATCCGACCCACAAAGAAGGGGTTAAACCCACCTTATATCATCTGGTTGGGGCAAACCTTAACCTATTCTTGGTATCTACACCAAGAACCAAAAGAAAAAGGTTCAAAAAAGGTCTCCCTGTTCAGTCTGAGAGAATTCTAGGTTTACCAGTCCTAGACAAAGAAAGAAAAAGCAACAAAAAAGGAACGGCCGATCTCTTAGGAAGAATCAACCAATCATCAACAATTTCTGGAATCACTTAAAGTTTATTTTCAGCCCAGAACAGATAAGAGGGAAAAACAGACGAACAGTTTTCAGGTCCAGAACGAGTTTGCTTCCTTCATTCTCAGTCCAGAATGAACAGAGCAATCCTTCAGCTGATGCAGTGAGGAGATTTACAGAGCACCGACCCGCTCTGATACCATGTTTTCAGCAAGGAAGAAGAATGCCCTCTGCGGCATATAGTACAAATTACATCACCCTTGGAATAAACACCACATGGGAATATACATGTTTAGTAGACTTTTGGTGAAAGGGCACAAGGTCCTTACCTAAGTTTTGATGCAACCATAAACGCTCCTTTTGTGGTCCAGTTTCTCAGCTTCTGAATGAACTTTGAGGGATTGCTTTTCTTTAGATGCATTCTAACAATGCTGTTGTAGAGTTTTACAGTTTTCAATCTGAAAGTTCATGAGTCATGACTAATAGTTCTTATGGTTTTTACTGTTTCATAATTTTTGTTTTCTTCTATCAAATTTACTTATCCTGTCAAGATATATGTAATTCTAGCACTTGTTATGGATTATATTGTTTCCTGTTTTGGGTTTCTCAACTATAATTTTTTTCCTGGAACCCCTAAATGTTTTATCATCTGCCCCAGATGTAAACTTTGTTTCACTTTGCTGTCTATGTTGTTTCCTTTCGTCTCACTAACAATATTGTTATGATTGCTGGTTTCTCTGCAAATCATTATTCTTTAAATAAAAGCCCGCAAATAAATTCTATGATGTATGTTACAATTAGATCTTATTTACAAGCATTTTTGTCAAGTGAAAAAGAAAAGATATGTACCAGATACATGATAATCTCTACTAATTATGCAGAAATAATGGACTTCGGCTATCCTCAAAATCTTTCTCCGGAAATTTTGAAGCTTTATATTACTCAAGAAGGGGTTCGCTCTCCATTCTCATCCAAGGTTAGTTGTGAGAATTTCATTTTGAAGCTTTATATTACTTAATCATTTTGATAATCTGGTGTGCTTAGTATGTAAAATTTGTTCTATATTGAATGTTCCTTAATAATTTATTATGTAAAATATTAACAGCCTGCAGACAAACCAGTTCCAAATGCGACTCTGCAAGTTACAGGTGCTGTTGGCTGGCGAAGGGAGGGCCTTGTCTACAAGAAGAATGAGGTGATTATACTTTCCTTTCCTTTTGGAATTTGGAATGACAAGCCATTCTACCAGATTTTAATATGTTTCTGGTGCAGGTATTTCTGGATATTGTGGAAAGTGTTAATCTTCTTATGTCTTCAAAAGGTATTTAATTGGTGTCATAGCTGTTTATTATCCTAGGGAGATGAATTGCTTTTCAGGTTACCATATGATGTTTTGGTGATTGTAGGTAGTGTTCTGCGTTGTGATGTGACTGGGAAGATTCTTATGAAGTGCTTCCTTTCTGGAATGCCTGATTTGAAGTTGGGTTTAAATGACAAAATTGGTCTTGAAAAGGAATCACAGCTTAAAAATCGCCCTACCAAAAGGTAGCTTCTGCAGAACACTGGCCTTTTATATATATATAATAGATAGATAGATAGATATTGGCAAATGCTTGGGCACAACAATTTCTTTCCCTTTTCATATTTGATGCATTCCCCATTTTTTTTTATCAGCAACACAAATTATTTCATTAATAAAAAGATAAAAAGAAAGCAGAGTTACAACAAGAGGTTGTGAAAAAAGAATAAAAAAAAACACAGCTTTAGAAAAGCTGACCCAAGCAGTTTGTGTGCTTCCCGCAAGGAAGGAAGAGCCAAGGATGGCAGGAAGTTGCTGGCCTGCTTGGTAATTTCTTGCTCCGATCAAAAGCAGCACAAATAGAGACCTGAACAGGYTTGGAGGTAAGTGAGAGAACTGACAACAATGTAGTGAATCCTGATAGAATCTGTAACAAGATGGAAACTTTGGAGGAAGAAATCTTGATAACGGGGAAAACAGATGGGATGAATAAAGTGATAACTCATGGTGGAGTGGAGAACTGGGAGAAGAAGTTCGTGGTTGAAACTTCACTGCCTCCATCTAGTTGGAAGGAAGTTGCAGAAACAATCTTGCGGAGTCTGGAACTGAAGGACTGTCATATCACCCCTTTTGAAAGGCTAATGCTTTACTGGAGATGACTATATCTGAAGGTGTTCTTAATGCCTTGAATTTTCAGCTGAATGGATTAGCAATTACAGTGTCGAAGTGGTGTCTTCTATCCAACACAAAACATTTTGGAGTTGAGGATAATATAATCGTGTACTAGGTGTGCCATTTCATCTTTGGAAAGAGGAGATATTCAGGGTTCTAGCTTCTTTCTGTGAGGTTCGCCTAGATGGTTTCTTTGATTTTGACCTCCACTCTGTTGCCGTGAATTTGAGTGGGGTGAAACCTGAAGATATTCCAAGAAGAGTTCAAATAGAAGGCTACTCCTACTCTATATGGTTGGTGATGTCCATTGAAGCACAACTGTGGAGAGAGGGTAGAAGGGAGGAAGATGAAGAGGTGGAGGTGGCAGCTTTATGTGGATTGCAAGACAAGAGGTATTACACAAATTTAGCTAAACAAAATTTGAAAAATCAGAAAGGAAAAGAGCTATGCGGCTATTCAAGTAGTTTGGGTATTGGTCAAAGATAGAAAGGTGGCAATTCCTTTTTGCATGCGGTGACAGAGGGGATACTTGAAGGCAAAGGTGTGGGTGAGCTTCAACACGTAAATAGTAGGGGAAACAGTGAGGGAGAAAGGCAGGAGGTGGACCGACACCGGTTTTCAAATCGAGTAAGCATGCCTCAAAGCCGCCCCACACGTGCTTCCTTTAGTAATCACGTGGCAATGGAGACCCGCCTAACTATTAATATCCGTTACAAAAGAGTCCATGGGCCATCTTGATGTAGATGCACATGACACCTTAAACAGGCACGTGACGGGGCAAGGTAGGGAGTTGATGGACAATAATTCTGGTCCATCATCGTCCCCTTCCAGCAATCCTCTACCGGCCGCAAGTCGCTCCTGCAACCAGGCGGCATCTTCCACCTGGGTATGGGTTCCCAGCAACAGAAAATCGGTTTGCTCCCCAGAACGGTGCAACCCAAAGTTTAAGAAGTCATCCTCCAAGCTCTAGATGGCGACGGTAGAAGGTTTGGACGATTCTAGTGAGGACGACAGTGAAACAAAATCTGTTGAGGATTAAGGTATTGGTAGCATTGAGGAAAACAAGTTTTCTCTCTGGAAGAGGAGGAAAGCTTCCATACTGAGATTCTATTCTTAGAGGAAGATTTATTTGGCAAGGAAGGCCAGCCCAACGTTGTACAAGATTCTGGGTTTGTTGTTACTAAATTCACTGGTACAAAGGAGGTGATGGTAGCTATCACGGAGGTTGTTGGGTCTACCTCTCTCAATAGGGAAGACCGAAGACTCTAAACTAGATTCACACCAAAACCAAGAGCCATGTAGGATGGTGTCGACTCCTTCATCTGGACGAAACTTGAATGCATCAAGGAGAGAACAGGGTGAGGGTCCTAATAAATTTTGTGGCTTGAGTCCCAGTACTACGGGCCAATTGATCTGCTGTAAGGAAAGGGTTCCCAAGTTGGTTCCTACTGGATTTCATTCTCCTATTTCAGAGAACCCCCTTGTGCCTCTCAATTCAGGTATTATTGTCGATTCGGTTTTTGGTACTGATTGTGTCTCTGTGCCTGTTGCAGATACTTCTACTACCACACCTGTTTCCCAACCAGTTGGAGAAGATGGAAGTGAGGTTGTCAAGAAGGGTGTAGAGGCAGACAGGATTGGGAGGGGGGGATGTCATTAGTTGAAGAGGAAGCTAACAGGATTTGGAGCCTGATTTGTAATGAGCTTAGTGGAGGGAGGATAAGGGGGGTGAAGTGGAAAGGAGTGGGATTTCATAAGAAACTAAAAAGRTTGAGAGAGAAAATTAAGGAATGGAACAAGGATCATTTCGGGAGAATTGAGGAACAAAWGGTCATTTTGATATCCAAGATTGAGGAGTTAGGTGAGAAGGAAGCCCAAGGAATCTTGGTAGAGGAGGAAAGAGAATTGAGGTTTAGGATTAAGAAAGATTTGGAAGAAGTTTCATTAAGGGAAGAGA